TTGTCTGCGGGTGGCCGGTCACAGATCGAGTGCTACCGGCTGCTGTGCCCCAGGGACTTGGCCTGCGAGAGCACTGTGGGCTGCCAGGTCATCCACGTGGCCTCCCACCGCCTGGACGAGCACTGGGAGCGGAAGAAGAACAGGCACAAGCTTGTCAAGATGGACCCAGAGACGAGGTGATGCTCAGGGACCCATCTGAGGCTGGGTTAGCAGGGACTGTGGTTTGGGAGGACACTGGGAACCGCACTGTTGTTCCCCACTGGGATACCTGGTCTGCGTGGCTGCAGGCTCAGCTGAGGCAGAAGGAGCCGGTTTGGCTTTAGACACATGGCCATGGTGCCTGGGCTGGGCCTCGGGGTTTTTGGGGTTAGGGAAAGGCCCGGTCTTTCCTTCTGCCTCCTCTGAGCACTTGGACATGCATCCTATGCTGGGCTCAGGCTGCTCTGCTGGGCTCAGGCTGCTCTGCTGGGCCATCTGCCTCCCTGGGACCACCAGTGTCGCCGTGGTGGTGATGAGCATTGTGTGTTTGCTGCAGGTACATGTCCCTGTCAGTCATACCTGGGACCAGCACCGAGCCGCTGCCGACATCCTGGAGGTTCCTGGCTGCTGCGTGCAGTGACGGATCGGTCCGGTGAGGAGCCATCGTGGGGAGAACGGAGCTGGGACTGGTGATGGGAGCAGAGCGGGCTCACGGGGGATGGTGCCATAGATGCGGCCAGCTCTGAGCCAGCGCATGGTGGACACGGCCCATGGTGGGAAGTGGGTGCAGAGGCATCAAGAGCTCCCTTTTCCCAAGGCCAACCGCCTTCTGCGCCACCGCAGGGTCTTTGGGCTGCTGGAGGCCGCCCGGAAGCTGGTGCTGGTGGCGGAGTCGTTTCACCACCAGCGCTGTGTGCTGAAGGTGGAGGCGTTCCTGCATGAGCAGGCAGGAGCAGAGAGGTGAGCCCCGAATCCTGTGCTGAAACCAATGGGAGCGGTGTTTGTCCTGGCAGGGGTGGTGGGCGGAGGGAAGGGAGGTGTCAGTGCCCAGGGGCTGTTCCGCTGCTCCCCCGGATCTCAGTGGGGACCCTTGGGGCTGCCTGTGGGGGGGCCGCAGCCAGAGGCTCCCCCTGCACCTCCCTTCTAGGAGGCACCTCCTGTGCAGTGCAG